CCCGGAGCAAGCGGGGATAACCCCGAGCAGCCCCCGGAGCGGCAGCGCCGTGCCCAGTCCCCTTCTCCCGGGAAGGCAGCGGCCGGGATCTGCCCGTGTCCCTGTGCCTGTGTCCCTGTGCCTGGTGTCCCCTGTTCCTGGTGTCCCCTGTTCCTGGTGTCCCCTGTTCCTGGTGTCTGTTCCTGGTGTCTGTTCCTGGTGTCCCCTGTCCCTGGTGTCCCTGTGCCTGTGTCCCTGTTCCTGGTGTCCCTGTGCCTGTGTCCCTGTTCCTGGTGTCCCCTGTGCCTGTGTCCCTGTCCCTGGTGTCTGTTCCTGGTGTCCCTGTGCCACCCCCTCAGCGTTTGCTGCGGACTCGGGCACTTCCTTCCTCTCGGCTCCGGGAGCAGCCCGGGGTTTGTTCCTGAGCGCTGTTGGCATCCGGAGCCTCCTGGCAGCCGTGCCGGGCTGGCAGTGCCCTGGTGGCCCTCGGGTGGGTGGCACGGCCGCCGTGTCCTTGCAGTGGCAGTGACCCCGTGCTCTCATCGTGCCTTCCCTAAGAAAGCCAAAAATGGCACCAACCCCATCCCCATGGGATCAGCGTGGTCCCATCCTCCTGCTCCACTCAGGTCACACCTTTGTCCCACCCTCAGTGCGTGGTTTTGGGGGATTCCTCTGCCCAGGTGACACAGGGGACAGCTCACGGTCTGTCTGTCTGTCTGTCTGTCTGTGTGTCTGTCTGTCTGTGTGGCACCTCTCACCGCTGCTCTGGCTCCCTTCCAGCTGCTGGAGATCATCAGGAAGGAGGACGTGGTGCTCAGGGCCATCCTCACCACCCACCACCACTGGTAGGTGTGACAGGGTCGGGGTGGCCGTGTCCCCACAGGGACAGTGCCCATTCCCAGCCCCTGCTCTGCCCACAGGGACCACGCCAGGGGCAACGAGGAGCTGGCCCAGCTCTTCCCCGGCCTGCGGGTGTTCGGGGCTGACGAGCGCATCGGGGCCCTCACGCACAAGGTCACCCACGGCCAGGAGCTCTCGGTGTGTGGCTGCAGCACTGGGGGGACATTCGGGGCTGAGAGCCCTCACACGGGTCCTGCTCGGTGGGGTGGGGTGGTGACACTGTCCCCAGTGAGGAGCAGTGGGGTGGTGACACTGTCCCCAGTGAGGAGCAGTGGGGTGGTGACACTGTCCCCAGTGGGGTGGTGACACTGTCCCCAGTGAAGAGCACAGTGGGGTGGTGACACTGTCCCCAGTGAGGAGCAGTGGGGTGGTGACACTGTCCCCAGTGAGGAGCACAGTGGGGTGGTGACACTGTCCCCAGTGGTCCCCAGTGGGGTGGTGACACTGTCCCCAGTGGGGTGGTGACACTGTCCCCGGTGGTCCCCAGTGGGGTTGGTGCTGCCGGGCCGTGCTCAGCTCTTGGTGCCCTGGGGTGGTTGCAGATGTGGCCCCATGGATTCAGGGCTGGGATGCAGGAGAAACCTCATCCCAATCCCAGCCTGTTTGGGGTTGTGCTGGAGGGTCCCAAATGCCATCGGAGCAGACCCACACAAAGCCCCATCAAATCTGCAGGTGGGGCGTGGGGAGGTCTGGGGGGGTCTGTCCCCCTCAGTGGGGCTCTGACCCTCTGTCCCCCCAGTTTGGGGCCATCAGAGTGAGGTGTCTCTTCACCCCGTGCCACACCTCGGGCCACATGTGCTACTTCATGTGGGAGGACGATTCCCCAGATGCTCCGGCTCTTTTCTCAGGTATCCCACCCTGCCCACGTGTCCCCCGGGGCTTTGGGGGGACACGCTGTGTGCTGCCTGCCCCCCACTCAGCGCTCCTGGGGTGAACCCAGTGCCCCCTGGCACCCCCATCCCCGGCCCTGGGGTCCCTCTGTGCCCAGCCCCTGTCCCACAGGTGACACGCTGTTCGTGGGGGGCTGCGGGCAGTTCTTCGAGGGGACGGCGGAGCAGATGCACACCAACCTCACCCAAATCCTGGGGACTCTGCCCGAGGACACGGTGAGTGGAGCCTGGGGAGGGCTCCTGGAGCCAGGAGGGGGCTCGGGGCAGGGATCCCGGGCTTGGGGCAGGGATCCTGGGATCAGGGCAGGGATCCTGGGCTCGGATCTGGGAGCAGGTTTGATGCCGGGTGCCTCCTGCAGAAGGTTTTCTGTGGCCATGAATGCACCGTCAGAAACCTCAAATTCGCCTTGAAGGTGGAGCCAGAGAATGAAATGGTGAAGGAGAAGCTGGCGTGGGCCAGGGTAAGTGGCTGTGCCCCCTGTGCCAGGGCAGGGGCCGGGGATGGGGGATGGCAGCAGGGTTTGGATGTCCGTGTTCCCTCGGCAGCAGCGCGATGATGAGGACCTGCCCACGGTGCCCTCCACGCTGCACGAGGAGTTCCTGTACAACCCCTTCCTGCGGGTCACGTAAGCACTGCTGGCACTGCCCCCAAACCCCCTCCTGTTCCCCTCCAGCACCATCCCTTCTCCCAAAGAACTGCTGGGAAATCCCAGCCCGGAGCCCAGGGGAGGGTTCCTGGGCATGGGGACAGCCCAGAGCACCGTGTGCCCCAGCAAAGGGTGGCACTGCCCCTGTCCATCCCTGTGGGGTGGGGTCCCCTCTGTCCCCAGGGCACAGCAGAGGGTGGCACTGGCCCTGTCCATGCCAGGGCTGTTCCCTCGCAGGGAGGAGCCCGTGCAGAGGTTCACGGGCAGGACAGACCCCGTGGAGGTGCTGAGGACGCTGCGCTCCGAGAGGGACAACTTCAAGAAGCCCAAGGAGAGGCCCAACCCCCAGGCCATGCTGGCCTTCGACTGGGGGCTCTTCGGGCCCTTCCTGGAGAAGAAGTGACATCCCCAGGGCTCCCTCCTGGCTGTGCCCAGCTCGGATCCGCTCCCAGCTGGGCACTGGATTTTGTCTCTAACCTGCTTTGTGTGAGGCTGCTCTGCTCTGCTCCGCTCCCCCTCCGGATCCTGGGATTCCCTGTGGAGCAGATCCCTTTGGAGAGCCCGGGCTGTGGGGCTGGGATGCTGGCAGAGGGTCAGGCCATGGGGCAGGGGACAGTTTTGGGGTCAGTGCAGGAGCTGCCAGCTGTCCGTGGCCATGGAAGGGAGGCAGGGAAGGGTGGGGAAAAGTGGGAATGCTCAGGGATTGTGCTGCTCCCCTGTTGCATCCCAATCCCAGGGTTTGTGTGGTGCTGGCTTTGGATCCCCAAACTGGGAAGCCACTGGTGGCACCAGTGCCCACCCAGCTCCAGCCCCGTGCTAACAAACTCCTCATCCCAGCAGGGGTTGGGTGGGCTTTCCCCTCTTTTTTCCCCAATTTTTCCAATAGGTCCCACAGGGATTTCTGTAGGGATTTGTCGCTGCCTTGGGGAGCCCCTTGGACCAGGTGGAGTGTCCAGGTGGAGCCCAGGCTCTGCCCCAGGAGGGATTTCCCAAGGTGGGACAGATTTGGGGCAGCCAAGAGCTAAAGTGCTGCCGGGCATCCCTTGCTTTTTGCTTTTCCCAAGATAAAAACGGGAGAACACTTGGTGCCAACCCCATGAACACTGCCTTGCCCTCAGGAGCTCGGGAGCAGCTGGGGCTCCCAGGCCTCCCCAGCCTTCACTTTGTGCAGAACCAGGGCTGTGTTTTATTTCTTTTTAAGTCTGAGAAAGGAGCAGAGTTTTATTTGCAGGTGTGGGGAGGCATTTCACACCACTGAAGACATTTCCTTTCTTTTTCTTGTGGATAAAATGAGGGTTTGGTGGCAGCTCCCAGCACTGGGATGGGAGTTGATTTCAGGGATTTTCATGTGTGGACTGTGAATTTCTTTGTTGCCACTGGAGTCTGGTTTGGGGCTTTTTCCTGTGCTACAAACTGGACCAAGGTTTTCTTATTTCCTTTTATTAATTTATAGTTTGGATTTATTTCCCTGCATGGAAAGGGAAGGATTTTTGGTAGCATGGCCTGAATTCCTCAGTTTCCATCAAATGCTGGAGTTGGAGATGTCCCCTGTGTGTTCCTTTGGGATTTTATTGATCCTGGGAGCAGGGATGCTCCTGTGTGTGGGACCCAGCCCTGAGCCTGGGACAAATTCCAGCTGTTCCTGGTGCCAGAAGAGATCCCAGGGAGTCCTGGGTGGCTTCAGTGACCTCAGAGCGTGTTGGTGACCTGGGAACTGGGGAAGTGACAAAGTGTAGAGCCCTGATTATTTAATTTCCTGCTAATTTAGCTTGACTGATTGTGCATTTCTGGGCTGATGCTCTGCACTGATTCCAGGCTGGAGCCTCTCCCTGTCCCCCTTTCCTGGTTTAGCCAAATCCCTGCATGGAAGAATTCACTGGAAGCACCAATTTGCTCCTCGGGAAGGTGGGGAAGGGGCAGAAGGGGGAGGTTGATGCCTTAGAACACTGTGAGGTCATTAACAATCAGCAACAGCTGAAAAATGAAAAGCTTTTAATTAAAAACATGAAAAATCTGCATTTGCTCTGTGGGTTCATTGGAATGTGCAGAGGAAGCCCCAAGGTCAGGAATTATTTTGTGGTAATTTTGGGATGTTCTCCATCAGTAAGTGCCTGTTCTGTCTGGATTTAGGGATATTATCCCTCAGTAAGTGGCTGTAGAGGGTGGGTAAGCGTGACAACTCCCTGACTCCCTGCTGTGTGTGTGGGAAGGAAAGACAGAGAAGGAATTGCCCTTGGTATAAATTATTATAATTTAAGGATAAGGAATCACAGGGCTTTGTCCAGCATTCACTCCAGTCCCCTTCCAGCAGGCACTGAGCCAGCCCCAGGGATGATCCCAGGCTTTGGATGCCCCTCTCCGAGGGCACAGACCCTGCTGGGCAGCGAGCTGTGGCACCTCCAGGCCTCAGGAGAACATTTCTAACGCAATGAGGACGTTCCAGCAGAGGCAGGCACGGAACTGAGAGCTGGGACAATCCAGCAAGGCCTGGGGGAGGAAGATTGGGGTGTGACACAAAGCTCAGCCTGGAGCTGAGCTCTCAGTCCATGAACTGCTGGGTTCTGGCAGGAATGGGGCTGCTGGAGCAGTGCAGGGTCTGGCCCATCAGCCTGGGATGTGTCTCCTGTCAGAATGTGGGGTTCATTCCCATCACCTCATCCTCCAGCTGAAGGAATGAGCAGTGCCAGGCACATTCCCAGAGGCAGGAATTGCACAGAGTCCTTGGAGAATCAGCAGTGGGAGTTCAGAAGGCACTGATGATCTGCTGGGCTGGGCAGCCCTCACCACTTGATGTTGAGGGCAGAGTTTGCTCTCTCCACGGCGTGGTATTGTGTGTGCAGCACTTCCAGAACCTTCTCTGAGCCCCAGCCCCCCAGCCAGTGCTGGTAGAGCTCCCCCACAGCCTGGTTTTCCTCTGGAATCTCAGCCCTCGCGGATTCATACAACCTCTCCACCTGCTGCAGCTCCTCCTTGCTGGATTCCCCCTCCAGTTTGATTTGCCCTCCTCCATTCAAACAGCCTGGGGGGAAAGAAGGGATGGAGAATTTCAGCTGGAAAAACCATCCTGAAGAAATTCCAGTTCATTTATCCACAGCTGCAGGAATGAAAACACCTCAGGAACGGAGGCTCAGTCCCAGTTATCTCCCAGCAGCACAGGGCAGGGAGATGCTGGGCTGGCTCCAGCTGGGAATCTGCCAGCTCTTATCTCCAGCCCCCAGGACAGAGCCAGAGCCCAGCCCAGGTGAGCCCAGCCTTGGAGGCTCAGCTGGAGGAAAGGGAAAAGTGCCTGGGATGTGTCCTGGGAGTTGGGCTGAACACTGGGAAGCTCCCAGAGCTCTGTGGATCCTTGGGAAGGAGCAGCTCTGAGAGACCCCTCAGTGGGTCCAGGCTGCCCCTGCTCCCAAGGAAAAGGAAAATGGAATAAAACATTAAGGAAATTACTTTCTCCACCAGCCACAGCAGCATTTTCTGTAAGTGTGATGGTCAGGGCTGGGCAGTTTCAGGGGGAAAAAACTCCTTAAATTAATTATGCAAATTTTGTATAACAGAATCCAGATGCAATTCCATAAATCCTGAGGAATTGCTGGCTCAGAGGTAGGAAAATGCCAGCTCTGAGGCTGTCACACCTCAAGGGGATGAGAAACCCTCCATTTTTCCTGTCTGGAATTCCCTGGAGCTCCTCCCAGGCTGGATTTGCAGAGGAGCAGCCTCACCTGAGGGACAGGCCATGACCTCCACGTAGTGATAGGGGCACTTCCCTCGCTTCAGCTTCTGCACCAGGTTCTGGATGTTCCTGAAGCCATAGGCCAGAGCAAACTGGAGCAGGACCTCTCCATCCCTCTCCAGGGTCACCTCCTGGAAGTCCTTGTTCCTGAGGGAGCAGAGCACAGGAAATGGCTTCTCCAAACGAGTTTCTATTTTAATCTTCAAAGGGCCTTGTGCAAAACCCAAATTCTTTGTGAATCTCATTGAAGAGCTGTCCTAGTTCTGTGCAAGGAAAATGGGAAGGAATTCCTTCCAGAGCCTTCCAGGATTGCTGGGGCCACCTGAGCAGCGTTTGCTGAAGGACACCTGGGCTGGAAAAAGCCTGAAAAGCTCAGCACAGGGAGCCTTGCCCTGACAGACCTGAGCTCCTTCATCCAACATTAAATCCCTGAGGGGATGTTTTAATTTCTACCAGATCATAAAACATGGGAACGAAGCCTTGAGGATTCCAGATTTCTAAGGTTAGTGGGAATACCTAATCCTGGTAAAAAGAAAAAGTAAGTTGGATTTTTATCAAATTTTTGAGACTGTTTTTTCTGCTTCCTAAACATACAAGTTGCTCATTAGGTATATAATTAATGTCAAAGGATAAATTAAATTATAACTGGGAAGCCAGAAGGAATCTCAGGTGGATGAGCCCCAATGCCCAAACTCAGGTGATTTATTTTCTCCTTCACTAGAGTTAAACAGAGCCCCAAAGCCCTCCCACGAGGTTTTCTGAGATCAATAATCAGTGACAAATCCCCTTGGCTGGCCTGATCCAAGGTGAGGAATCCCAGCTCCACCAGAGCTCTGCCTTCTCAATTACTCTAAAATTTTATAATTATTATAAAAATTATCAGTGGAGGCCAAACTGCAGGGTGTGGGTGAGGAAGGGGCTGGAGTTCTCCTTGGGAAATTTTCTCTGGAATTCTGCATGGAATTGGCTGATTTATTGCTGATTTATTGCTCAGCAGCTGGGGGAGGGAGCAGCCAACTCTCAGCCTGCAAGTGACCATCACAAAAAAAACAACCTCCAGCTCCTCAGCAAGGAGAATTCCTGAAAAACCGAGTTTTCTGTGGGATTTCAGCTTCTTACTTGAGAGGTTTGTAGTGGATTGAGCCCACGTGGATCCCGAAGAGCTCCTGGGCCGCGTGTCTAAAAACGTGCTCCAGGTACCCCCCCGAGCCCCCGCCGCGGTGGCTGCTCAGCTCCTCCGCAGCCCTGCCGAGCCTGGGGAGGGCACAGCACCAGCTTCAGGGAATTTGGGATCAAACAAAGATCCAGGGGCTTCAGGGCAACGGGAGCAGCAGCCTCCTCTGAGCCCCGGCTTTTCCCTTTCTCCTGGGAATAGCACCAGGGACTCCTGGCACAATGGGGTGTGCAGAGAGGTTGTGGATCCCTGAAGTGTCCCAGGCCAGGCTGGATGGGGCTTGGAGCAGCCTGGGAGGGTGGGAGGTGTTGGGGTTGGATGAATTTCCAGTCTTTGCCACCCAAAACCTTCCAGGACTCTGTGATTCTCTATGGATCACCCTGTATCATCCTGCTGCTGAGCCTTTTGTGGAGCTCTGGGGATGTTCCCCTTGCCCTGAAGCCAAGGCAGCTCTGGGTGCTCAGTGCAGAGCCAGCCCTGCTGTCACCTCACACCCCAAAATGTCACCCCACCCCATCCCAGTGTGTGCAGCTGGCCCTGGGGCAGAAATTCCTCCTCAGTTCAACAACCCCAGTCCCATCTGACACGTCTCAAATGTCACTTTTCACTACAAGTCTTCTGGAGATTATCTGAGTGACCTAAATATCTGTTAGTTCTGCTCTAATTCTGGGGTCTTTGCAGTGCCTCTGATAACGAGGAGCAACAGCTTCTGCTCCAGGAAATTTTTATCACTGGGACAGATTCTTGTCCTTCCCAAAGCCTGCAGCAGATTTTTGTGGGATGAAAGGAGCTGGAGTGATATTCTGTACATTAAATATTTTAACTCCCCATTGTTCTGGTTCAAGTGACACAAGAAACCAAACCAAGGGCAAACACATCTGTGTGAAACAGCAGGAAAAGGGAAATTCTGAACTCCCTAAATCCCAAGGGAAAGGGAACATGACTGAAAGGGGATTTTGTTCTTACATGGTGTCCAGGGGAGAGGGATCTACATCTGACAGGGACACTCCTTCCTGCTCCAGCAGCTTCAGCACTTCTCCTAGAGCAGAATCAGGCACAAAGAGTTCTTATTTTTGGGATACAGAAAAACAAACTCCCCCAAAGCAGTCCCTAAAACTGCAGCTGCATTTTACCAGGTCATGATTTGCAGTATTAAAGGTAAATATAGATCAATATCCAAAGCCATGGGACGCTGTAAGGCTCCCAGAATGAGCTGGAATTGGGAATCTCCTGTGCCTCTGCTTACCTGTGGTGATGACACAATCCACATCCCTGGTCTGGTATTCCTGGTTGAAAAAGTCTGGCCTGGAGGCTTCCAGCTTTTTGTCATAGCAGGGCATGACTGTGACGTGGTAGATCCTGTCAGGGGGCAGGTGCTGCAAGAGAGACAAGGCTGGGGCAGCCAAAATCCCCCTGTCCTCAGGGAGGGCATGCCAGGAGCAAAGGAGAGTGGGGAAAATAATGCCATCATCCCCACTCTTAGTGAATATTTGTGTGTTTAGGTATTTCTGCATAAATGAAATGATTTCTCTCCTAGAAGACAATTTCAGTCAGGGTCTGCAGTCATGCTCCTTCACAGGTTTTGTGGAATCCTGGAATAGTTTGGGTTGGGAGGGACCTTAAAGCTCATCCAGTTCCAACCCCAACACCTTTAACTGTCCCAGGGTGCTCCAAGCTTGTCCAGCCTGTCCTTGGACACTTCCAGGGATCCAGGGGCAGCTTCTCTGGGAATTCCATCCCAATTCCACACCCTCCCATCCAGGAATTCCTTCCCAGTATCTAACCCTGCCCTCTGGCAGTGGGCAGCCGTTCCCTGTGTCCTGGCACTCCAGGCCCTTGGGAATCATCTCTTTCCATCTTTCCTGAGGTTCCCTTCAGCTCCTGGAAGTTTCCCTCACTCTGGTGCAATGATCCAAGGTCAGGCAGGGGAGCCAATCCCTAATTAAGCCTTTAGGGAATAAACTTCCTCTCTGCTCCCAAAGCTCAGCCCCTCAGGATATGATCTGGAGTCCCACAAAAACCTCAGGATCATCCAAGCAATAAACACAGGCTGAGCAAACAGGTCACTGACCCTGGGCCACTGTTTCAGTCTCTTGTGCCAAATAATTCCCACAAGT